ACGACGCCGCGCGCGGGCGGCGTGGACCCCCGCGGACTGCCGCGGCGCGTCGGGCCGACCACGCTACGTGCGCCGGGACCCCTCTGGACAGTCCGCGTCCGTTCCATTCAAACATGTCCGCTCACCCCTCACCGGCCCCTCCTCGCCACCTTCTGCAGCCCATCCCCACCCCCAGTGAGCCTATACTTACCCCTGAGCAGTCCCTCGGCTTCCGCTCCCTCCCAGCCCCCAGCAGTCCCTCCCAGCCCCCAGCAGTCCCTCCCAGGCGAACGCACTGCGAGTAGTTACGTCACCTACCTGCTGCACGGTGGCGCCTCCTGGCACGGCTCCGCTCACGACCTCCCTCAGGCTCCTCCCCTTCGTCCGTCGCCGACTCAGCTTCCTTCTCAGCCACGTCCCCTTCACCGCGCGCACTCTCTGCCGCTCCTTCTTCTTGATCCTCATCTCCTGCATCATCGCCGCCAGCTCTCTCGCCTCTCTCGCCGCCACAGAGGGCGCCACTGCTCCGGGCGGGGGACTCCCATCAGCGCCCCCTGCTGGGGCACAGGTCCCGCCGAGCGACGAAGGAGAGGTGCGCTCCTCTAGCATCCCCGCTCGCTCCTCAGCCTCCCGTGATGCGGGCGGAATAGCATCCACGGCGCGAGGCGGGTCGTCACACCTCGTCGATGACGCAATCGCCTCCGTCGTAAACTCTGCGACGTCTCGCGTAGCGTCGGCGATGACGGTGGCGCCACCTAGCGATGGGACGACACGAGCGGTTACGGTAGCGAGAGCGGACGCACGTCCCTCGCAGCCGACAGCTGGGGAGGCGACGGGTGAAGCCACCACGTCAGTTGTTTTAGTAGCAGATATAGATGTTACACAAGCAGCAGGAGCAGCAGATGTAGATGTTACACAAGCAGCAGGAGCAGCAGATGTAGATGTCATTGGACTAGCAGCAGGAGCAGCATATGTAGATGTCATTGGACTAGCAGCAGGAGCAGCAGATGTAGATGTCATTGGACTAGCAGCAGGAGCAGCATATGTAGATGTTATAGGACTAGCAGCAGCAGTCACAGCAGATGTAGATGTTATAGGACTAGCAGCAGCAGGGACAACAGATGTAGATGTTATAGGACTAGCAGCAGCAGGGACAACAGATGTAGATGTTATAGGACTAGCAGCAGCAGTCACAGCAGACAAAGATAAAGATGTCACCACCTGATCCACTACTGTATGGACATCAGACGATACTACGTCACTGACAGCCGTAGGTATACCGGATGCTAGGTCACTAACTACTGTCGCAACATCAGCCGTAGTAGACACACTGGATTGAGACACCTCATCACTGGCCTCTGAAGGGTCATTAGGTACCACATCACCTGACTCTATGGGATCATTAGACACCACATCACCTGACTCTATGGGATCATTAGACACCACACCAGCAGCTTTTGCAAGGCCACCAGCCACCACATCAGCACTCTTTGTAGGGTGATTAGACACCACACCAGCAGCTTTTGCAAGGCCACCAGCCACCACATCAGCACTCTTTGTAGGGTGATTAGACACCACACCAGCAGCTTTTGCAAGGCCACCAGCCACCACATCAACAGCGTTTGAAGGACCATTAGACACCACATCACCAGCCTCTGAAGGAACACCCAGCGCCATAACACTAGCAGGGGTAGAAACTGCAGACACCACGTCCCTAGCAGCACAAGCCGACACGGAACCTCGGTCCCAGTCCTTAGCAGACGACACGGAACCCCAATCCCAGTGCTCAGCCTCCTCTGCACAAACGGCTTCAACCAGCGTGTCGTCGGATATGTCCCACGCGGGGGCGCCACCGCCGCCGGCGTCTTCAAGGCCCGCGCGCTCTCCTGCGTCGCTGCCGGCAGCGCCCCCTGTTGGGACAGCGGTGAGACGCGCTCGCTCGCCACCATCGACTCTCGGTTTCTTCCACAGCGACGAGCAGGCGTCCGGCACGCTCTCGAGCGCCCGCTTCGCAGCGCCCCCTGGCGGCTGCGCCCGCACGGCCGCGTCGCCGCTCGTCTTGTACACTGGCGCGAAACCCGGCGCCCTCTGTTGGGCACTTTCGGCCGGCGGCCGCGCACTCGGCTTCTCTCGCTGGAATATCGGACGCCGGGGATGGAAGATGAGGCGTTCGTGTCGCGCGCTGATCGAGGGAGTGTCCGTCGCTCTGCCGGCGTCCGAGAACGGACAGGACACGCGGGGGCGGAGCGGCGTGTGTGCGGACCGCGGACCAATCACGAATCTGTCTCCCGTCATTTCTGAAATGTAGAAAACGTCCGGCTTATTCGTTATATTTATATTAATTTTGGTTTTTAGACGGCGCGTCAGTCTCAGCATTGCACGTTTAGATTGCTCATTGCCGTTTTGATGGTTGGTTGATATTCTAACTTCACACGAGAATGCAGTGCATCGCGCACAAGTCACACGAAAATCTAGCAAACTAGCTCTCTTTGTGAAAGGGGAGGCAGGCCATTAGAATACCGCAATTATACGTCGAAATGTAAGTCATACGAACGGGCGGGTGATGACGTTAGTGGTCTCATCCAATCACGATGTCCGAAAGAAGATCCTGTGTGGGCAGCGCCCCCTGTAGAAGCTCCTCCTGCTGAAAGAATAAAACAAGAGACAACCACTGCAGAACATAATCATGACAAGCACTGTATTCATACAATGCTGTAGAAATTTGAGATAATTGGAGTTGTTTAATCATGACTAAATTGTCTAATTCACCTATCTGTCTGACATGAGTGAAGGAAGTTCTAACTAATCATTGTCGCAACAGCACGTTCTAACAAGAGCCGCAGAGCGTCTGGGCTCATCTGAGGTCTGTTGCTACGATTATAAACGTAAAATTTCAGT